ACCCGAATCTCCTGAACACATAACATCCTTACCGTTTYAATAAATATATGGTAAAATGTATAGTTGTCCTTTGATAATAATTTCCTGAGTTTTGCCTTCGCCTTCCTGCTTGTTTTACTCACTAGTTCCCAGAAGTTCCTCAAAACTGAGCACATAATCTCCTTTTTGTATGATAAATAAATGCAAATGTCTTCAGTGGTCCCTTAAATCATGAATATCTCACTCAAATCTGTCATTAGCAGACATGTTAATAACCTGCAGGGGTGCCCAATTGTCTTCTTGTTTGGATTGCATACTAACAAAGCGAGTTCAGACTARAGTGCCAGGTTTTCCATCCTTTAAGACAAACCTTAGCTCATTTCTCCCTTATGAGTAGCTGGAGTTTCGAACTGTCATAAATATTTCCWCTAACCTAAAAAGTATATAAAACCAGTAGCGGATCCAGAATTTCTTACAGGGAGGGAAGGGGGTTCCCGGTTTTGTTTGGTTTTCCTTCCAGCATATTCTTATTATTGAGATTATTTCGTAAATTCTTCTGAATTCGAATTAAAATCGCCAATTTTAAAACACAAAAATACCCCTGTGATCGGTTTTGCAATATCAATGTACGACTTAAATATTCAGAAATAGATGTAGAATATATTTATTTTAATAGTAATCTCTGTTCTTGATACCCAAGACCACAACCCACACCTCCGTGAATCCGCCACTGATTAATGTTTCAAAATAAGCTCATAACTTGAACATTTAGAAAACAAGCGAACAGATATTTCCTTCAATAACAACCTYAATGGTGTTTGATTTGTATATTGGAAAGTTAAAGACTTATACAAGCTGCAAAATTTGTATTATGTATTAAGCAGGCGTGTTTATACTCCGAATTCACACAAACTATAATATAAAAATGGTAAGCTACTGTTATCTAACAAATTTGTTTAAAACTGCTACAGCGGGTCCGGAGATATGTGATTTCAACTTTAAACGAACCTTACCTAACCTACAAAACCAACTTTAATGTTAATTTATAGTATATATAATCTAACAGAAAACCAATTTTCTAACATTAAGCCACAACATTCCAAGACTAATAATCCACAATCATCTAGAAACAATCGCTTTAATGTGTGTGTATAAACTTTTATCAATTTACAAGAATACCAAAGCCAGCCGAGCATGTAAAGGTGCGGTTCGGTGATTATCCACCCACCGCTATTTTGAAAGTTTACTCTCCATTAGGATCATATTTTCATATACTTTTTTTTTTTTTTTGTATATTTTTTGTTATCTAAAGCCAGGAGCGTACAGATTATGCGTACGTGAGCAGCATAAGCAACAAGCGTAGGAGATAGTTGAGGCGCTGCTACACACACAGTCACCACAATGAAAAATATACACGTCTGCCACAATGAAGTAAGAAAAGTATTTACTTAGGTAATAACAAATTCTAAGCAGACACTGGTTTAATGCCAACAAATTACTTATGTAAGAAACGAAAATAAAAGTTATTTACGCGCAGTAAGTACAGTGGGGCGCTAAAGGAGGTTTGAGTGGTTTAACGGCTAAAAAATGCACGCCATACAAATTAGAAGTTATGCCGGCAACGGATTTGGTGATTATGCACATTTTCGAACTAACAAGGAGCGTGCATATAGAAATTTACTTTATATACTATCACACATTTATTTTACATAATCAATTCACAAACTTTTTCCACCACTTCTTTGAACTTTTTATGATTTGCCGAAATTTACTGTGCACATTGAACATTTTTTTGTAAAGATTCATGAAAAGCAAACCTTGATAGCAACGCTTTACTTGTGCACGTGACCTTCATTTATAGAAAAAGACATTCAAAGCAAGATTTTAACAATTACTATCATCGATATGCGACCAGTTTTACGCTTTTGACAGAGCTTTATGATATATTTGGTAATTTTTTACACTCTTTTGTAAACAAATGCCAATTGTTGGCGATTCAGCGCACATTCAGCGATTTCGTGTACTTAATTGGAATTGTAAAGACATCAATTGAACGCAGTTATGTAAAAATGTGTCAGTTAAGTGTAATTCAGGTCAATTCTGCCAATATATTTTGAGTATAAGAAAACAAATCAACATTAATAATCATCATAAACAACAATTAAGCRCAAATATATAAAATTGTGCCACTTTAATATTATTCAGCTCAATTCAGCAAATATATTTTGACAATTAATGAAAAAAATATTAGTATGAACTAACTTTGAACACAAATCCTAAGAAATTAAATAAGYCATTATTCAGCACCTCTTATATTAGAAATTATTGAAAATATTAAATTAATATACGAACACATTAATTGATAAGGGAACAACAACTATCCGGACTTTTAAGACRTTTTGGCTTATAACAAATTATTCAGCTGTATATATTTTGTGTTTAGTAAGTGCAATCAGATTTATAAATTTTGCTCCCATTCAGCGGCATTCAAAACTATTAAGCTTAATTCAATCCAATTCAGCACCATTCAGCTGAAATTTATATCCGTTTTCTGTATTTAAACCACTTTTTTCGATGTTAATATTAAATTTAGCGCTGTTAAAAAATCTATTGAATTTTTTTTTAATTTTTAGTGACATTCTGTGCTATGTAGCTCAATCCAGCACAATTCAGCGGAACTTAATATTCATTTCCTGTACTTAAACCACTTTTCTTCGCTAGCAATAGTACATTCAGCGCAGTTGAAAATTTATATGAACAAAATTTTAATTTTTTTTTTTCTTTAAACTGTTGAAATTGAACATTTTGCTAAAGAAATAATATTCAACATGCTACAAGCGTATATTTATGTGAAATTGGAACTAATAAAAACAATTCAGCGGCATTAATTTCAGTTTGCAATGCACGTTTGAGTAATTGAAAGCAACGGACAGTGTTTTTAATAAAAATAATTAAAAAGAAATATTCAGCTCAAATTCAGTTAGCATTTTATGCATTCAGCTTATTGCGCTGAGCAATAAAGTGTGTATTTATCGCGCTTTAATTGTATTCAGCGTCTTTTTGCTGCCACTGAGTTTCTCAACTTGCAAGCAGCGTGAATTTACAATTAAATTCACTTAAAACTAACAACTTTCACAGCAAAAAAAAGCACATGCTTATCTCTGTACTTCGGGCTATGCACGAATTTACATGCAACCGAACTGACAAGTTTGTCGCRTACATAAATTCATTGTCGATTGCATAAACTTGCTTGCTTGCGGTCTTGTGGTCAGTGTTTGCCGCAAGTGAAGCAATATGCATTGTATATGCCACTTGAGTAGCACTATGCTTGCATGCAAGTAACCGGATAATGACTTGGCACACACACAAACGAAGGGAGAATRCGCTRCAATTTATTTTTGTTTACACGCTCATTTATTTACAACTTGCCACTCACTTTCTCCAAAAATCAATTGCACATAAATACGCACATACATCTGTGTGTGTTTGAATACCTTTAACATTGGTATCGGTATCTTGCATTCGCCACTCGCATGCCAACCAGTCACTCAACTTAATGCACTGCTCGGTTGCGCATGCGCAAACAATTCATTGACCGTCGTCGCCCAATGCAGCATTGCTACAATGCACAAACGTTTGTAAAATATGCAAAGCAGCCAATTGGCCGTCACGCTTGAAAGTTGAATGGTGGCACGCCACTTCAATGGCCACTGCCATACAAACATATATAATTTTAGTATGAAGTAGCGTTGTGTACGTGCAACGAATGTCAATGTTGCTTGGCTTCTTCTTTGATCGAACGAGTCTACATTTTCGTGAAATTCATTTGTCACATTTCCGTTGTACTTTAGACATTGCTTCCGTAAAGCAAACCAAATAACGCGTAGCAGTAAATATGCTTATTTATTTTATTGCAATGACTTAAGTSGCCCATTGATGGGTCGAGTAAAGATCRTTTTAAKGTTTAACGGAAGATAAGCTTTACTTGTTTTGCTTTTTTCAATCGGAAGGAAGAGCAAACCCATTCTGAGTCATTACTCTATATCATTCARAAGCAGTCACTTTCTCTCAGCTTCTAGTAATCYAAAAGCATATGTTAGGTTAGGTTGGATTGAGAGGTCGATCCTAACAGTGTTCTCACTTGGACAGCGTGAAACACCGCTCGCTTGTGGTACCTAACAACTCCTATATACTGTATCATTAGATCCTTACAAATCGACTAAGCTATTTGAGCCTATTACAAATTTGTTGACTCCTAAAAGCACAGACTGTATAACAGAGGATTGAATCTTTCCACCTCACATTTCTCCWTACAACTTAGACAACTAGCGTTTGACAAGGATTGTAGCCTTACCGCTTGTCTATGGGCAGAACACACTTCGCAGCACAGTGGCTTCAAAAATAGAAATTCAAAAAGATAAATTTCTGTTTGAACTAGTGGAGTAATGTGTGTCAGTTTTCCTCGACTTTTTTTTTTTTTTTTTTGCTAAAAACTGAACTCACATCATCCCGTGATCACCTTATTCGCCTGATTTGGCTCCTTGCGACTTCTGGTTATTCAGAAAATCCAAAAGACCAATGCGAGGAYGCTGTTTTGACGCGATTGAGGAGATAAAAACTGAAACGAACAAGACCCTAAAGGCTATGCCGGAAAACCCTTTGACAAAAATTGCATTYTATCGGACATGGATTACTATGAAGCAGACAAAATCGAAATGGAAGAGTTAATAAAGTAATTGCATTTCATACACAAATGCACACTACTTTTTAATCACATTGTTATATATTGTTGATGTAATGAATCCAAATATTCAAATATATATTGATTTCGTTATAATGGATTCAAATATTTTAAACTGAAAATTTGTTTCATATTTTTACTGTAACAACAAAAAATCGAATGGTTTCTCTAATTGCATTATAACTAAACTGAATTCCAATCGTCGTAACTACCTCAGAAAATAAAACAAACAAAAATCAGCTAAACACAAACTAAGTMTCTACCTTTTCGATATTTTTAGAATTTGGGCTACTCTCCGATGAAAATACGCAAATTGCGTATCATACTCGGCACCATCGCGGCGCTTGTGATTATTGCCCTACTCGCTGTGGCGTTAACGTTCATCATCAAAGCTGGGGATGATGATGATGTGACACCACAGGAAAATGATAATGGCCTACACTTGGATGAGGTCATTACCGGGGCATTATCAGCGCATCGCTTCAATGGTACATGGACGCCGCAATCGCGTATACTCTTCCGAGAAAACAATGTAAGCTATTTAATTTATATATAAGCGCTACTAGAGCGATGTAAGTAAGCCAAAATGCTACTAAAGAATCCACTTCAATTGCAGTCGATTGTCGAGTACGATGTGAAGACGAAAAAGAAACGAGTGCTGCTGTATGATGAGCACGTAAGTGGCAAAGAGTTTMAGAAATATTTTAATATATAAAACCGTTGATATAATTTTCACAGCGTCAATACTCGCTCTTCGAGATGTCCGCCGATCGTGAGCTGTTATTGTTGGCCAAAAATTTGTCCAAAGTAAGTTTTTGMGCATGCCACAAATWTTTTAGCGCTCTTCACAAACCCCCTTTCCTTTCCTTTGCAGTACTTCCGTCACAGCTTCTTTGCRCAGTACGACATTTACAACATCACATCCGGTCAAATACTGCCGCTGATGATCAATGGCGTGCAACAGCTGTTGCTCTTTRCGCAGTGGGCTCCCGTCGGYAACGGACTAATTATCAATTTCGAACGCAATCTTTACTATAAGCCAACCGCCTATGCGGAAGCAATTCCRCTGACAAGTGACGAGAATATCGCYATMTTGAATGGCATACCCGATTGGGTGTATGAAGAGGAGGTKTTTAGCACAAACATCGCTACCTGGTTCAATCCGACCGGCACACATATCGCATTCATCAAATTCGATGACTCACCAACACACGCCATCAGTTTGCCCATCTACGGTGAGGCGAACGAACCACGCTTTCAATATCCACTCACCAAATTTATACCGTATCCGAARGCGGGCACCTCGAATCCGCGTGTCAGTCTCTATACGGCCGATTTGGAGCGCGCGGCTAAAGGTAACGAGTTTCTCACGCAGATTCCGGTGCCCAGCTCGCTAAACACCGAGAACGACTATATCATCTCAGCGGTCGAATGGTTAGATAGTGAACGTGTGCTCTCGGTATGGATGAATCGCATACAAAATTTGGCATATCTGCAGGTGTTCGATGGTGTGCGTCGATTAGAGGTGGGTCAGAGCTCATATACAATATACTAGTACTACTACAAGCCATAATTCTCACAACTTTGCAGATTTATAATATCGAGTCGAAGACTGGTTGGGTAAATTTGTTCACACCACCCTTCAAGAACCGAGACGGTTCACGCATAGCCTTAGTACTGCCACAGCTGCAGGACGATCAGACATACTATCGTCAAATCTGCACACTGTCGACGAAAATGGCAGGTAGCGCTGTAGAAACACTAACAAAAGGTAAATTTGTTGTGGAAAGTATACTTCATTGGGATACGGCTAGCGATGTCATATTCTATATGGCTAATACCGAACAACAATCCCAAGTGGCGCATGTGTATGCGATCAAAGCAGAGACAGGCCGTACACCACAGTGCCTCACATGTGGGCTGCATGTATCGGGCGGTGAGTAAACTTCGAAATCATGTTGTGTATACGGATATATACCAACTGACTTAAATGTTATAACTTTAATTCGACAGACGTGCAGCAAACATACTATGAGGTGTCTTTCAGTCACGAACGCCAAATGGCGATCACTTCGGATGGTCCCGGCATACCGATGACTGTGCTATATGAATGGAACTGGGAAAATGGTAGGTTTATAACATTTTAAAATAGATACAGCAAGCAGTTTGAAACTCTTCTACCCTTACACAGATCAAGTGGTGCTTAAGAAGGTCATTGATTGGGAATTAAATACCGAACTACGTGCGAAACTGAAACTGAAAGCTATGCCCACCTATGAAATACATACCTTCCCGATAGCGGGAAACTTTACTGCCAAAGTGTTGCTACAATTGCCACCCAACCTCGATCGTAGTGGCAACACTAAATACCCCCTACTAGTGGACGTCTATGGTGGACCCGACTCTACCTCGGTATGCACATGAATATTTATGTTTTTTTTTTTTTTGTAAATTTTTTTGTGACCGTTGCTATTTTTTTCTTTACTCGTTACCATTGTAGGTGCTTGATCGTTGGATGATCGACTGGGGCACCTACCTCTCATCAAACCAGTCTGTGATTTATGCCAAGATTGACGGACGCGGATCTGGCTCACGTGGTGATAAACTATTGCATTCGATATATCTAAAATTGGGCACTTTAGAGATCACCGATCAAGTTGATGTAACCAGGTAGGAATGCTCTTTTTTCTATATACACATATGTACTATATATCTTCAATTTTTTTGTTTTGCATCACCTTCCAGACAACTGCAGCAGAAATTTTCATTTATCGATACCAATCACACAGGCATCTGGGGTTGGAGTTATGGCGGCTATGCGGCTGCCATGGCTCTGGCCAATGATGACAGTCAAGTTTTCCGTTGTGCCGCTTCTGTGGCACCAGTAACGGATTGGGCTTACTATGGTGAGTTTCAGTTGGCTATAACGGTGTTTTCTTTGTATTTTATAAAGCTGCGCTCTTTAAAATATTGTGTGCTCGCAATTGCTTGTCTTTGTAGACTCAATTTACACTGAACGCTATATGGGTCTGCCAAAAGTGAACGAAGCTGGTTACGCGAATTCTCAACTCACCACACGTGCACAACGTTTGCGTGGCAAGAAATTCATGCTGATCCACGGCACTCTAGATGACAACGTGCACTACCAACAAGCAATGGTTTTGGCAAAGAATTTGGAGAGATTTGATATCCTGTTCAAGCAAATAGTGAGTATCTTACCAAACTTTTAAATTTTTTGGAAATGTTCTTATGTGGTATAAGGAATCATAAGTATTAGAAGAGCTCAACTAGTCATCGTAAAAGCTCGGAATTCTAAAATTGTAGATTTTTTGAATATTATTTTTCAATTAATCTCTACAATCTTTTAAAAATGCAAGAACTCAGGGGTTGAACTTAACATTTCGAAAGTTTTTGACTCTATGAAAAATTTTTGAAAACTTTTAAGAGCTCCGAATTTAAATAAAAAAGGAAAAAAATATTGAAATATTTTGAAAATTACTAAGAATTCAAAAAAATTAGAGTATCTATTAAAAAAACTTTAAAAAAAAAAAATTTTGAAATTTTTCAAAATATGCAACCGAATTTCAAATTTTTAATATAAAAGGGTTTGAAAATTTTCAAAAATTCCAAATAAATTCTAAGTTTTAAAAAACAAAAAATGTAAAAAAAAGTTTTGAAAATAAAGCGATCCGAATTAGTTTTTTTGCTTATATAAGAAAATTAGAAAAGTTTGGAAATATTTTAGAATCCCAAATGAATTTTGAAGTATTCAACACAAATTTTAAAAAGTTTGAAAGTTATAAAGAATTGAAAATTAATTTTTAATTTAATATAAAACAAATTTAAAAATGTTTTGAAAATTTTTAAAAAATTTCAAATAAAATATTTAGTTTAGTTTTGAAAATATTTAAGAATCCCAAAAGAATTTTTAAGTATATAAAACACAAATTTTAAAAGTTTTGAAAATTATTAAGCTGAAAATTAGTTTTATGTAAAAACAAATTTGAAATTTTTTAAAAATTTTAAATTATATTTTTAGTGTTTTTGATTGAAAATGTTTTGAAAATTATTAAAAATTTTAAAATTAAATATTAAGTTTTAGTTTTTAGCTGATCAAAATTTTGATAATTTGTAATAATTTTAAATTTATATTTATTCAAAATTATTGTTCAATTCATGTATAAAATTCGGAAATGTTTTGAAAATTATTACAAATCAACTCATTTGCTAAATTTGTGAAAATAACTGAAAAATTGTAAGTCTTTTTTAAGGAATCCAAACAAAATTTTGAGTTCGTATTAAAAATTTTTAAAAAATTTGGAAAACTGTTATAATTCCAAATTAATTTTTAATATTATAGGAAAATATTAGTTATTTTTGAAAGTGAGTTATTTTCCGAAATTCACCCCTTTCTACCATCATCTCTTCCCACCACTCCTTGCAGAGCTACACCGACGAAGACCACAGCTTGGCATCAGTGCGCCCGCATTTATATCACTCGTTGGATCGCTTCTTCGGCGACTGTTTCGGCAACAAGCGCATGATGTCGCGCTGGAATGGCAAATGATTGTACCGTCATAATAGCAACAACAATAGCAAGAGGACGAACAAACAAGGTATATAGCGAAGGCAAAAAGCACGAAAAGAAAAGAAAACAGAAAGCTAATATCAGAGTCAGAAGGGAGACTCAACCACAGACAATATCGGTGTGARTTAAACTTGAAATTAATAATAATTAGAAAAAAACACAAACAACCAAGCACTAGCAGGTGAATAACACACYCAAAAGAAAGCACACCAATATGTGAAAAAATATTCGCAATTAAAAAAATGAAGCATATGCGTAGGCGAACGAATTTTTGTACTTAATAAACAGATGTAAGTGTAAGCAATTTTTTTTTTTAATTTTTAATTTTTAAAATATATAAAACATACATACATACATGCATACGTATATACATACATATATAGAAGAGCTGAGATAGCATTTAACTATTACTAGTGTCTCAAATTAACGCAACAACAAAATTAGAGCGCATTAACATGACTATTTACGCAAAATACATACATAGTTACATACACGCACACATACATAGGTGGCGATAAGGTTTAAAGTAGACAAATTTTATTAGTATTTAATAAAATTATTATAAATAGAATTAAGAGGAAGGAAAGCAAAAACAAGAAGAAAAAAATAGAAAAATAGAATTAAGGAATGCAAAAAAAAGAAAAAAACAGACAAAGAAACTTAGTTTCACATACAAAACGTTATGAAAAGAACATTTTAACATAAACACACAAAGAAAGGGCGATGAAAGTTTTTTTTTTTTAAATGTTTGGAAAACATGCAATTCCAAAACCAAAATTCACGTTTTATACACGTACATATGTATATGCAGACATATATACGCACACATAGTATATGGAAAACTTGTAGTTGTAGTTGGTAGAAATTAAACAATTTTTTTTTTTTTTTAATTTCGTAATGTTTTTTCGTTATTTATATAACATTTTGTCTTCCGTTAGTGTCAGTCTCAATTTTACWTGCTTTCATAGGTTTAGCAGCACACATAAACACTTATATATTTAAACTTAAATTTTTGTGGAAGGAATTAAAAATTTTATGAAAAGCTACAAATTTTGTTTAAAAAAACGCACACACCTTAAAACCTTTTTTGTTTTTTGAAAATTACAAATTTTTGTTAAAAAAAGCATACACTTTTAAACAAAAATGTTTCTTAAAATAATAATGGAAAAGTTTATTTAACAAAACAACCTTTTTAAAACAAATTGTTTAAAAATATTTTTTTGATTTGCTTTTTCTTTTTTTTTTTAGAAATTTTCTTAATATCTTTCTGTATATAGTAGCTTACAAACCAATTTACTAATTAGATTAAAAAAACTTTAATTTAAGTCAAATAAATATTAAACAATAGCGGCGCC